TACCACAAATGGGATGGTCTTAACAAGCAGGAGTTTATTCTTAAAATTTGGAGGCTTTAAGTCCAAGCTCAAAGTGCCGGGTTCTAAGGGCTGGGTGAAAGCCGCTCAATCTTGGGGTCCAGCTCTGCCTCCTGCTCCCAGGCCACTGGAGCTAGAGGAGTTTCTTCACTCAGACAGCTGCTGGCTGCTGAGGCTAAGACGCTCCAAGGTTGACAAGTAAAAAGGCACAGTTCTGATGTTACCAAACCACACGGCAGGCCGTTAAGTCCATCATAAGTCCCAAGGTCAGCAGAGCATAGCAGGCTGCTGAGCAACGACATGGCTACACACAGGGTCCAAACGTGCCATGGGCTAGAGACCATTCCCAAGGCTTCTGCTTAAATACAGGAAGCAGACCACATTCCCTAAGGCAGCTACTCATCTGCTCATAGTAGATTTCACCATGGAGTTATTGCCAGTCTCCTCATGGGGAATACCACATCCAGCTGCCCAGCCACCCAGCCAGGCCCAGCCGCGTTGACACAGAAACATAACCACCACCCTGCACACGCAGTGACCCCATGGACAGCAGAACAGAACACTGCTGGTCCTACGTCATCCTCTCAGTCACCGCTAGGCCTGGCCCACTGTCGCAGCCACTGTGTCCATCCATCGCCTTGAGGGGCTTCCTCTTTCCTGCTGACCATCTCCTTTACCAAGCACGGTGTCCTTCTCCAGGGACTGGTCCCTCTTGATAACATGTCCAAAGTCTGTGAGATGAAGTCCGGCCACCCTTACTTCTATGGAGCATTCTGGCTCTACGTCTTCTAAGACAGATTTTTTTGTTGTGGTAGTCTATGGTATCTTCAATATTCGTCTCCAACACAATTCAAAGGCATCAGTTCTTCTTGGATCTTCCTTGTTCACTGTCCAGCTTTCACATGCCTATGAGGCTACCTAAATACCATGGTTTATGTCAGGTGCACCTAAGCCTTCCGGTGACATCTTTGCTTTCTAACACCTCAACGAGGTCTTCTGCAGCAGATATGCACAATGCAATGCCATCTGATTTCCTGATTGCTGCTTCTATGGGCACCAATCATGCATCCAAGTAAAATGAGATCCCTGACAACTTAGATCTTTTCTTCGCTTATCATCAGGTCGCTTACATTGAACATTGGGTCCAGCTGTGAGTTAAGAAGTATGTTAGGGCTATCAGTAAATAACTGCTCAGTATAAAAACTTTACCTGTGATAACCTCCTGTGACAGATGAAGGATGGAATTAGAAATCCCAGGAGAAAAACCACGGGACATTAAGTGGGAGGTATGGATACTTAAAATCCTCCACCGCGTTGTCCTATCTGCAAAAGTGAACATGCTAATAGTTAAAATTGTCGTGAGGATTAAGAAGGTATGTAGCAAACTCTCGGCAAATGGCAAGTATACCACTTCATTAATTCCTAAAATCATGTGACTCAGTGGCCAAAGGGATGGGGGGGGTCACACCAGGTGACATCATCAGAGGGGTGACACCAAAATGACCGTCTGTAAAATTGTTGTGCAGTGTTTTAGCAGAAATTTGTTATTTTTTGTTAAAAATATATCCCTCGAGTTCGCTATAACAAAAACGTTTCCGTAAGCTCAGCTTACATGCATCAATATACCCACAAGGCTAAAACACTAAGTCATTTTGTGAACCTTCTAATGTTCATGTGACTGCTAATCAGAAGGCTGGTGGTTCAAACCCACAGGCCCCTTCTCCAGAGGAAGGTTGGGCAATCTACTTCCCTAGTGATACCGCCTCGGAAAGGACTCCATGGCAGCCAGTTTGGTTTTGTTTTATGGTCTAGTACAGGAGATGAGCAACCCTAACGACAACGCTGATGGGATTTAAATACGAAGGTATCCCTGCTCTTGGTAATGGCGTTGAAGAATGCTTTCCAAGTGAACGAAAGCTGCGTTACACCGGCACTCCCCAAACCAGCAGAATGGCCAGTTTTGCCGGTTATTCAGAAATTTGATGGACCGAACGCAAGCACCCTTCGCCGGAGGCAGCACTGCGCGATCCCCAACTTCCGGCTTCGGGCTCTCCGACGCGGAAGCACCCAGGCTCCAGCCAAACGTGGAGCCCTCCGCGGAGGAAGAGCCAGAGGTCAACTCCCCAGCGCGTGCTCCAAATTCTAGACCTTCCTCCCCCGCCTGGGGGTCCCCTCGCTCCCTTGCCCCCTTCCACACCTCCAAGCCTCCCACCTGGCTTCCTGGAAACCCGACTCCCGGTCACAGGACAACCCCCTGCCTCTGGGGGACTGGTAGGCGGGGCAACGCCAGGGCTGGGGATTGGTGGGCGGGGCGACGGACGGAGGGGAGACGTCAACCCGCGGACGCGTTCGGGGATTGGTGGGTGGGGCCGGGCCGGACACGTGGTGCGGAAGTGGTGCCACGCCTGCCCGAGGTAAGCGCTCTCCCGAGTCCGAGCCGGGGCACGTACCGAGACAGGATCGGAACCCGAGCCGGGGAACCAGGCGGGCGGGGAGGTGCGGCCGCGGCGCCGACCCAGCCTGAGGGCCCGTGAGGCGGCGGAGGTGGCGCTCCGTGTGCCCGCAGCCGAGCCAGACAATGGGAGCCGTGGGTGTCGGCCGCGGGCCACCGAAGGCCCGGGGTTCGGTCGGGATGGGAGCCTGGGGGTCCGCGCTCGCCCTTCTGGCCTGCTGCATCCGCGTGAGCCCTCAGGCAGCCCTGCCCGGACGGGTCCTCCCACAGACCACGAGCCCGCCCTCGGGGAGCCCCCTCCCCACTGGGAGGGGTCCCGCGCGCGCTTTTGCTCCGCCTTGGGGAACTCCAGCCCAGAGGGGTCCCATCCACGCTCCGTGGGGGTGCAGCCGGCCACGTCCCAGTAGTGCCCCTGATTGATGGAAGCGTGGAAGCGTATTTGGTTCTGGCCTGTGTGGGACTTCGTGGGGTCCTGAGTCGTAGTGCCCTGGTTTTTAGGGGGCGCTGCAGGAATGGGGATGTTCAGGCCAGATAGGCTAGGGAACAGAGTTCCCCCCAGCCCCTTGGGCCTGCACAGAAGTCAGGCCTTCTGGCAGATCAGCTGACCCGAGGCTTCAGGCCAATGAAGTTAGACAAACAGCCTCCGGGTTAAAGGGGTTGGAGTCTCCAGCTACCCCCCAGCATTTAGGCCAGGAGGTTTCCTGTAGGAGAGATCTTCTGAGACTCAGTGAAATTCCCTAGCCAGCTCCCTGGTGTGGGGCAGATCGTTTACAACACCAGCCTCGGTTCCCTCCTGTGTGAGATGGAGGCGATGTTTTTCCGCCTGCCCCAATGCCTTCAAGGCTGCAGGGCCTGCAGACAGGGCCACCATGCCCCTTACTGCCGAGGTCAGATGGAGGGGAGTTTCATCCTGATGCTGACTCAGTGCTTTCGGTGCTCAGTGCTGCCCTGAAGACCCCCAATGAGGCCTTTGGTTACTGTACCTCTGCTTTTCCTAATGGTTGCAGGGAACCTTGACCCTTAACCTCCTCTGTTGAGTCCATTCCGGCTCATAGCCACCCTACAGGACAGAGTAGAACTGCCCCACAGGGTTTCCAGGACTGTCCGTGGTTGTGGAAGCAAAGCCCAGACCAAACCCACTGCCAGGGTGGGGTCCGTTCCAACTCACAGCTCCCCTAAAGGGTAGAGTGGAACTGCCCTAAGGTTTCCAAAGCTGTGAATCCTTAGGAAGCCGACTTCTTTCTGCAGAGCGGCTGGTGGATTAGAACTGCCAATCTTTAGGGTGACATATGAGCCCTTCAACTACTGTGCGACCAGGGCTCCTTAGGGTTAATTTTGTAGAACTGTGTATTTGGGATAAAGCTCTGGATTGAACAAATGGGACTTTCCTACCTCTATATTAGTGATAGGAGCTCTAGTAGCTTAGTGCCTAAGGCACTTGACTGCTAACCAGAGGGCTGGCGGTTCAAACCCACCAGCCACTCCTCAGAAGGAAGATTGGGCAATCTACTCCTTAGTGATACTGCCTCGGAAACCCAAGAAGGGGTCGCTATGAGTCGTGTCTGACTTGATGGCACACAACACCACCATGTTAGTGGTTTGTACAGAGATTTGAAGCCGTTATTTGGGTGTTTCATTAACTCGGGAGAGGCAAGGCCTGGGACGCCCTGGACTGACCATGTGTTCATGGGTCGTGGGTCGGCTGCGTAGGCAGGTGCTGTGCCTCCGTGTGACCTCACTGGTGCCTGTGTGTATGTCACTCCTCAGGAAGCACTTCAGCTGCCCTTCACTCTGAAGGGACAGTGTTTGCTTTTGTTTAGTCTCGGATGCTGCTTTTATCTCAGTCATTCTTCCCTGGGGCATATAAAAGGGGTCCCCAGGGGAGGGAGCTATGACCTAGAGCGGAGGGAGTGGGGAGAAAACACCCTGGCAGGACCTGCACTGAGGAGGGCGGGCAGTGAGCTGCGACTTAAGCCTGCACTAAGCCTGCATGGAGGCTGAACAGTGTGGTCTCTGTTTATGGTGAAAGTGCAACGTCAGTTAATCACCTTCCAGGGCTTGGCTGCAAAGCCACAGTGACCTGGGCTGCAAAGAATGCAATGATGGGACTGTCACAGGGCCCTTGGGGTTAGTACTGTTTGTGGCTCAGTAACCTGGATGCGAAGCACCAAGTGTGGCCTGTCCTGTAAACTGGCTTCTGTGGACAGAAGCAGTAGCTTCCTGTGGACATATTTGCAGGTAGATGGTGGCAGTGTGGCCTGTAGCTGTGTGGACACACACATGCAGTTTTTCCTTTGTGAGGAAACAATGGAAGATCAGCCTTTAAGCCAAACTGTCTTCCTAAGCTGCAGCCAAGTCGGGGGAGTCCGGGAGTCACATGACCCTGTTGCAATCCTGTCCCGGTGGGAGGGGTTACACTTTCAGATGCTCAAGTGCCTCCAGGGTCCGAGAGCCAGTCAGCCTGTCTGCAGGCAGGACAGCTGCTTCCTTCTTCCCAGGAGCCTTGACACCTGCATCATCTGCTTGGAAAATGTCGGCCCTCACAGAAGTGTTCAAGTATATCGACGAGAATCAGGATTGCTACGTCAAGGTAGGGGGTCTTTCACATTGGCTGGCATTCAAGTTTGGTTCCATCTTAGGGGTTCAGAGAAACTCCAGAAGCTGCTACGACGTAGGCTGTTTACCTGAGTGTTAACATGTTCCGTGGACTCTGCTCCTTCGCCTCATCATGGTGGCTTTTAACAGAAAGTCCTGATAACTTTCCAGGGACAGCAGAGCTGAGCCCCGTTTGTGTGTCATCTCCCAGCACTTTCTTGTAGTGGGTGGTCACAGGTGAAGAACACTTGAATCTCAGTGTTCCCATGTTTCCGGTGACTCCGTATATTCTTACATGTTAATCTGTTTTTTGACATTAAGCTTTGATCATGTTTTAACATTATTCGTAGACCATTTTAGATCAAGACTTAGACTTCTCATTCTGAAAGTTACTCCTTGTGAACTTGACTGTTGTCAGGATGATTGATAAGCTCATTTGGATAGCAGACTTGTTGGTTGTTTTCAGTTTGACTGTAGTTGGAGTAGTCAGGTGTAAGTTACTTACAGAACTTGACTTAACATTGATCTCTTGCTTCGTGGTTAATAGTGTGATGTTTTCCTGTTACGCTGGCATCCTTTGTACAGGGGCAGCACAGAGGATTTTCCAGTCTTGACACAAAGGCCCAAGTGCAGGCCGACCCTTGCAGGCCTGGCCACTGTGCTCAGCACGGCTGGCCGCCACGGTGGGCCCGCCTGCGTCCTGCAGCGCGGCGACAGGGGGCTCTCTGCCCGAAGGAGGGCCTTTGGGGGTCTAGCTCTGCTTCTTTCCCACAATCAGAAACTTGCGGAATGGGTGGCCATCCAGAGCGTGTCTGCGTGGCCCGAGAAGAGGGGCGAGATCCGCAGGATGATGGAAGTTGCGGCTGCAGACATCAAGAAGCTTGGGGGCTCCGTGGAGCTGGTGGATATCGGACAGCAGACGGTAGGCTCCCGGCGTTGGCATGTCTGTTTGCTTCTTGGTACATAAGTACGCAAGAAAACACCACGGCCCGGTGGCCCGGTGATGTCAGTTATGTTCCTTTGGTTCCGCCGTCACCCTCAGCCAAGTTCTTCCCCCAAGCCCTGCGTTCTTAGCCCTCAGCCACAGAGGAGCGCTCAGCCGGTTCTTAAAGAGCCCTTGGTGCAGGTGGCTGCCTGCCTTTCCAAGAACTCGAAGGCCTGATTGGGACACTCGGTTCTCTGTGATTCCTTCCGTTGGAACGGAGTGCAGGTGTGTGACACTCACTGTCTCTCTCTGGGAAGGAGAACTGCCCCATGTGATTTAAGAATCAGTTAATACAATGTTCATTCCCGGAAAACAGCTGCGGTTCCCCCTGCGGACTCTGGAAGGCACCCTGCACTCCCCTTCTGCTCACAGGGCTGTGTTCTAGGCACCTCTGCAGGGCAGCAATGCTTTTTGTAACTTGGTTCCTGAAACAAAGATAACTGGGGGTGGGCGTCAGGTGCATTTTAATGAAGGATTCTGACAGGTGAGATTGGTTCGTTTTCTTCTTAATTTAAACGAATGGTTTCACTGCACGGTGTGTTAGCATGCTGTTCCAGGTGGCTGCAGGCCCGTGGTAATTATTTGTGTTACTATTTACGTACCTGTCCCATGTATTGTCAGGGGATTCCTGTACATCGCGGGGTCTGACAAGGTTTATCTGTGCTGGGGTCAGGTTGGAACCCCACTCCCCCCACTCCTGTCCTTTGCTTGTGGCACTTTGCACCACCATCAGTGTCTTTCTGGTGGAGCACAGGCCCATCGTAGGGACGTGGGTTGGGGGACTTTCTGCACGGCCTGAGTGGGCCATGATTTTAGCAATGAGTGGAGACCATAGGCCTGGTGTGGAAGTTGGAAAAGACTTGAGTCCCCCATGGGGAATGGACATTGACGTCCCTTCCTTACTGCCACTATTCTTCTTCACAGAGGGACTTCTGTTACTTGTCACTGTCCATGTCTTGCAGGACGGTGGTAGGGTTTTTGAAGCAAAGCTCAAAGAAGTACCAGCTGTCCCACCTCACTGTGGAGTGCCTTACTCGGAAGGACATCTCTTTGTACTGCGTTTAGTCCTTTTCTGTGCATGCTTGTAGTCTCCATACAGAATTTCAAAATAAGATTCTAATTTTAACTAGAACTTTAACTCTTGATTCAGAAAATAGCCAGCTAAGTTGTGTACCAGATTCAGCCTTCATGATATGTTTTGTTCCATAAAAGTTTAATTAAAAAAAGCTAATTGAAATTTACCAAACTACTTGCGTTTGGAAACCATTTTTTCTCTCTGTTCTGAATTACAGGAAAGTAAACTTTGGTGAGGAGCCCAGGTGTTGTAGTGGTTAAGCACTTGGCTCCTGACCAAAAGGTCAGTGGTTTGAACCCACCACCTGCTCCATGGGAGACAGACATGGGAGTCTGCTTCTGTAAAGATTTACCGCCTTGGAAACCCTATGGGGCGGTTCGACTCTGTCCTGCAGGGCTGCTGTGAGTCAGAACCAACTTGATGGCATCGGGCTTGGTTTGGATTTCTGTCTGTGAAGGAGCACTCCTGGTCAGTGGTGAAGTGCAGGTGTGAACCACAAGGCTGGCGGTGCAAACCCACCAGCAGTTCTCCCAGAGAAGCGATCTAGAGATTCCAGAGAAAAGATCTGGAGATCTCCTGCAAAGCGTGCAGCCTGGAGACTGTCGGACAGCTCTACTCTGTGTTACATGGTCGTTAGCAGTCAGAATCGACTTGACAGCAGTGGGTTTTTGGTTTTGAACTTTTGCTAATTAATAACCTGTTGAACAGCATGCTGTTAGGTGCTATGGCAGGGTTCATCAGGGGGAGCAGGTGAGGAAGCGCAGGTATTTGGTAATATTTAACATAAAGAAAGTGTTTCAAGTGCGGACTGTCCCTGCTTTGTCCTCCTGACTCCCAGCTCCCTGACGGCTCCCAGATACCTCTTCCTCCTGTTCTGCTCGGCAAGCTGGGCTCGGACCCCAAGAAGAAGACAGTGTGTGTGTATGGACACCTGGATGTCCAGCCCGCAGCCCTGGAGGACGGCTGGGACAGCGAGCCCTTCACCCTGGAGGAGCGTGACGGTAGGAGGAGGGTGCCCCTCAACTCCCGAAGGAGCCCTTCTGAGGGCTTGGTTGCTCTTGTAGACGACAGTTCTGCAGCTCTGATCCCAGGAGGTCACTGAGAGCCCCTCACCGTATCTGTCACTTGGGCACAAGCCACCGACGTTGCAGTGAACCTTCCCGTGTCATGTGTCTGACGCCCTCGGCCTGTGCTTCTTTGGGTCTTTCCTGTCCTGTCAGCACAGTTTCTCAGGACGTGTGCTCTAGTCCTCAGAAACCTGCCTCCCAGCCCTAGTCCGAGCATGTGGCTACTCTGAGGTATGCTTGAAGAGCTCTGCTGTGAGAGATTTGGGCAGGGTCAGTCCCAGTGACGGACAGACAGACACACCCACTCCTCAGTGACTTGGTGGCCAGTGAGTCTAGAGTAACTTGCGGACCGCTCACTTCTGGGCTTCCTTGCAGGCTGTTGCTAGGAGCTGTCTCCTCCCTCAGCACAGGCCCTGGAGGGTGG